CCATTCTGTGATTCTGTGATTCTGTGTCAACACTTCCAATATGCCAACGAAACTCTGAATTCCAGAATTTTTGTATTATTTCAGCTCATTCTTGGGAAAGCACAGGCTTCTCGGTTTGGGTCAGTTTAGGAGAGTTCTTATGCAGAGTTTGGTTCCGAGACAAGAGAAAAGGAGTAGCCTGCCAGGCTTCTTGGCTGGTGGGCCACCTGCAATGCACGTTCACTGCCTAGCTCGATGAGAGAGTAGGCAATTCGTTTTTAAACACAGGCAGCAGATTGCCAAAGGTAGGAGCAGACAGACCTAGGAGAGCAGGGGGTGCTCATGGTCTGCTCTTCATAAGTGAAGATCTCCAAGTCCAACCCTCCAGATGACGTCTGGGTGCCACACAGGATGTGGAAGCTGTTTCTGAGCAGGGTGTCTTTATAAACTCTATAAGGCTCTCTAGCAACTAATTCCACATATTCATTACGTGCCCTTAATTATTTTCTTTCATGGAATTTAAACATATTTCAACATCCCTGTTTCTCTCCTTGCTCCTTAAAGCGAGAGAAACATTGCCTTTTTAATCGTTGATTTCCCTCTTGTGTCAACATTGCATACTGCCACTTACTCTTGATGTAGAAAATTTAGATGTCTGGTGGTTCGGGGTTTTTTGACTCCTATCCATACACCATCATAAGAGGGGACAGGAACTTGACATGCATTAATCCCCCCAATTTATTCGATAGTATACTTTTTCAGTAAGTTTTTTATCCCATTCTTCACGTATCCTAGTATTCTTCCCTCTTGATAAAGCAAGTGTTCTTACTGAGCAGCTCATAATAAAAAATGACCAAATTCTTTTCCATGGTAATCTTCAAATTCAATCTGAAATGCAGTAATAGAAACAAGTAGTTCAAATTACTAGTTTTAGTATTGCTTATATTTTCAGTACTAAATCTCCAGTTACTCCAGTTACAGTCTGTGGTGGGTAGACCCTGGCTGGACGCCAGGTGCACACCAAAGCCGCTCCATCACTCCCCCTCCTCAGCTGGGCAGGGGAGAGAAGATACAGCGAAAGGCTCCTGGGCTGAGATAAGGACAGGGAGATAGCTCAGCAATTACCGTCACAGGCAAAGCAGACTCGACTCAGGGAAACTAGTGTAATTTATTGCCAATCAAATCAGAGTAGGGTAAGAAGAAATAAAAACTAAATCTTAAAAACACCTTCCCCCACCCTTCTCTTCTTCCCGGGCTCAACTTCACTCCTGATTTTCTGTACCTCCTCCCCCTGCGCAGTGCAGGGGGAATGGGGGTTGCGGTGAGTTCATCACACATCTCTGCTGCTCCTTCCTCCTCACACTCTTTTCCTGCTCGTGTGAGGTCCCTCCATGGGAGACAGTTCTCCATGAACTTCTCCAGCACGCGTCGTTCCCATGGGCTGCAGCTCTTCACGAACTGCCCCATCGTGGGTCCTTCCCACAGAGTGCAGTCCTTCAGGAACAGGCTGCTCCAGCGTGAGTCTCCCACGGGGTCACAAGCCCTGCCAGCAAACCTGCTCCGGCACGGTCTCCTCTCTCCATGGGGCCACAGGTCCTGGCACGAGCCTGCTGCAGTGCAGGGCTCCCCACGGGGTCACAGCCTCCTTTGGGCATCCACCTGCTCTGGCGTGGGGTCTTCCATGGGCTGCAGGTGGAGATCTGCTCCACTGTGGACCTCCATGGGCTACAGGGGCACAGTCTGACTCACCATGGTCTTCATCACGGGCTGCAGGGGAAGCTCTGCTCCGGTGCCTGGACCACCTCCTCCCCCGCCTTCTTCCCTGACCTTGGTGTCTGCAGAGTTGTTTCTCTCACATTGTCTCACTCCTCTCTCCCCCTGCAGGTTTTTGTTCCCCTTCGCAAATCTGTTATCCCAGAGGCGCTGCCACCGTCACTGATGGGCTTGGCCTTGGCCAGGGGCTTGGTCCATCTTGGAGCCAGCTGGCATTTGTTCTGCCGGACACGGGGGAAGTTTCTGGCAGCTTCTGACAGACGTCGCCCCGCTACCAAACCCTTGCCACACAAACACAGTGCACAGTGATACAGCTGCTTGGCAGGTTTTTCTGCAGTAGCTGTCAGCCTTCTCCAGCTCTGAGTAATGCAAATAATGCATCCTCCATCACTCAGAACAATCTTACATATCGTGACACCCCAAATTTACACATCATCAATTAATTTTGATTTTAGTGCAAATTTTGGGAGAAGCAGCCCTAGACTGTTCTGCCTTCCTCTCCCTTTCAGTTACTTCTGAAGTTTCTGATCTGTGATTATCTAGTCTTCAGTTTTGTGTTCTCAGAGTTTGTCAGGGTCATTTTGGAAAACCAGTCACACTTTCTTCCTTTTTGGTCGGACTGCAAGGAGTATGGCTTTTCTGTTAACTGTGGAGTTGTGTCAAAGCTATTTATCTTCTTTTATCCAGTGGGATAACATCAGTCTTCTACTTTAGGAGAGAGGACAGAACTGACTGTTTGCAGCTTATTCCCTCTTTACCCTTTGCTAAAACTTGAAAATGTCTCCTTCTCTATGTTGTTCTTCTTGTCCAGAACACCCACCTCTCTCCCTGCCCTGTGCCTGGGAGTAGGCCCTTCACTCTACCACAAAAATCCTCCTTTACTCTTTGTGGTGAGCTGCCAGCCCCGCTGGTTTTCCTTTGACCACTTACCTGGCCAGCAGAATAGAAAAGCAGGCAGTGCAGCGTGATCGGCAGCGCTGCGCCAGCGCCGGGGAGAG